TTGGGGGTCCCTCAATATTTTTCTCTAGGTTCCTACACATCCTATCTGTATCTCGGAACGATTAAATTCAACTCGATCAAATCTTCGAATACGTCTCGATCGAATTTCTAACCCAGAAAGCGAATCGATCGACGTGTCGCGCTTTGGAATTCATCAAATGTGTAGTATACGTGTAACCGATATTCACGATGATCGACGAAAGAAGCCGGCGCGCGGCCGTTCCTGCATTCTCCGCGCCGGAAAACTTTCCATCGAGGAGAAACTTTATCGTCGAAGCGACTCGAGACGAAATCGTGGACAGAAGCTTTCCAACGAGAACGCGTTATTCGCGGTTCCTCTGTCCCCTTTTTCTCTTAAAAATTTCTTCTCCCCTATTCTTCCGGTCCCGAAAAAAGAGGAAAATAAAGGTTGCATTTCGTGGAAAAACAGTAAGAACGAACCACCTTCGAGCGTCGCAATCACGCCGATTTATCGTTGCAAGTTCCGATAAATAAGGAGAAAAAAAGCTACACTCACCTCGAAGGTAAAACAGCACCAATGTCGTAATATAGAAGCGATTGACGCGATATGTTATCGAACACTGATAAATCCACTATTTCATCCTTGTCCCCGAAGTTTATTACTACGTAATATCCGGTGCTCCTGGAATCCCTGAAGAAATTACGGTACCTCGTGTGTGGATAGGTAATACGCACAGGTCTGGTGAAGGAACGATGATCGCGATCACGAGATCGTAATCTCGGCACTCTCGATCGTTCCTCCGCGTTTTCGTATTCGATCTCGTCCAAAATTTCGCTCTGATTTCTCAACTGTGTACACTACGAGAACTGTGCACTTTCTATTTTCCATTTCATTCAGAACGATTGCTGTCTCATTATCGAACGCTGTTCTGAGAAACTCTGTTTCGTAACAATGTCAGACACGTTCTTCTTTATCAGTTTGTTTAGAAATCTCTGTTGCAATCTTTCGGTTAAGGTGCGTGGGAAATTTTCGAAGGATGGTGAGAGATTCGAGAATTCTTTAGAAATCGGATATTCCTTTCGCTTAGGAAATTCGCTCATATCTGGCTTACAAGCTTTTCCTATCTTCTCTCGAGAAGAAGAAACGAGAAGTTGATTTTTTCAAGGTGATCGATTGGTTCCCGAATTATCAGTTGTACTCGAAGGTTGCAATATAAACTTCAGAACAGTTCGAATTTTTGGATAGAACGAATACTGTACGCAAAAAATTGGTCATTTTCCAAGGAAACATCCCGAAGCGATAATCACTGATTTCGATCAAACTTTTCCGAGGTGTACTTTTTGTGAAGTGAAATATATTATTTATTATTTTTCAAATTTGTCGTTGAAAAATACAAAATTCTCCAATTCACTCTATTTTTAACAATTTTCCAGATATTAGACTAGCAATAAGTATATTTGCTACCTCCAACTTTTGAACTTTCTCGAAAAAAATATTCGAGGTTTTTTTTTGTGAAGCGATGTATATGATTCATTATTTTTCGTCAAATGCAAAATTCGTCAATTCGCTCTGTTTCTCTATTTCTAACAGTTCTCCAGATAGACTAAGTATATTGCTACCCCCAACTTTCATAGAGATTTTCGTCCCTTTACTGCGGACGATTGCCGATAAAAAAAAGAAGTGTCAAATATTTCTTTTAGTACCACCGTATACCAAAGTTTCATCAATATCGGTGATTATCACTTGGCGACGTTCCCTTGTTAGATCGTAAATGTCGCTTCGACACCGATTCACACCAATCTTACCTGGCGAAAGCGAAAACGTTCTTGTTCAGTAACTTCGTGACTAGTTTCCCTCCTTTGAAGTTATTCGACTTCTTCAGCGACGAGACCTTCTTGTAGAAATTATAATACGACTGGCTGTCCTCCTTCTCGGCGGCCAGATTCACGGTTCGGTAATTATCGTTCACTCGAAGCCATGTTTTCGGGTTCGTGGAGAAACCTGCGCATCAAGGTTACCCGTTAATTAGGATTTTTCAGAGGACGATAAACGAGATCTTTCTTTTTTTTTTTTGTTCATACAGGAACTTCGTTTTCATAAATATATCATCGATGATAAAATAATGGCGCATGTGAAGATCGTACGTCATATCGGAGGGGCTATCTTGATAACAAAGCGGTATCTGATGTGAAATTGATTTTTGTTCCGAATAGACGCGTCGATACCGACGCAAACATGTCGTCTCATTATCTTTGTCTTGTCTTTGGAGGAAAATTCTTATTTGCCGGTTATTTACCGATGCTATTAACGAGACCTGGATTAATCGCGATCTATCGAATGGATAATACCGTATCGTAATCGTGACACATGCATACAGCGTGTCAAGTTATTGCAAACGTTAGATTTCTCGAGATTTTTGCTAAATTTAGGATTTTGGGTAGCAAGATTCCTCTTTGCTCGTGAGAAGAAAAATTGTGGCTGATTGCAACTTTGCATTTTCATGGGAGAAGAAAAAATTAACAGCAAAAGAAAGTAACGTGTATAATATCTTTTAAGTAAACGTTGAAATTTGTGAAAAAAAGGCGCGAAATAAATTTGTACACGAAGGGTTAAATTTCTGCGTGTCAATTTGCAAATATCCCCCCAAAGGACCAGCATTAAGTGCTATTCTTTTCAATATATACGTGCAAGCGTGGAACGAAACACGTTTAATACTTGTCAAAGTCAAGTGTAGAACGTTTCGCGAAAGTTTGTATGCGACGGTGTTTATTATCGCCGTGATATTTTCCCGGAAAGTTTGCGCACCGCATAACTGAACGAGCCATTTTCCGCAAGGAATCTGTGCCAGACACGGAAATTTGTTTTCAACGCGATCGATAACTCGTTTTACCGGCAGATTCCGATGGACTTGCGTTCGCAATTTTCAATTCGATTTTATTACTGTTCCCATTAGGCCAACTACGCGCTACCTAGGCTTGTTTTCTTCAGATTACCGAGTATTATTAGCGAAATACAATCTCGAGGGATTTAAATCAGTTTACTTTACCGTGCAATTTGTTAACATCTGATTCAAATTTCATTTTTCCTTCTGTTTCTAACGATCCATATTCGCTGTCCTCTCTTATTTTGCATACAAACGGGCCCGTACCCGTGCAAGTGAATAAAAATGAGATAAAATAAAATTTTGTATCGCAGATGCATATATTTTTTTTTTAAACAAAATTCTGTACTTCCGTCACTTCGAGGACATTTATGTAAGAATGTCGTTTAAAAATTTCAAGTTCATCGGGATATTGAAAAAAATGGCAAACGTAGAATAACGAAGTCTCGTCGAATATCGAAGTTTCTCCCAGAATTAATAATTACCAAGTTACGTCGTTGGATAATTGTAATCAACCGACTCTATAGGGACTCGAGTGTAATTAATATTATCAATATTTGTCGGTGTTGGCAATATTACTGATCAATATTGAAGGAAGGATCGATACTGAGATCGAAGATTAGGCAAGTACACTCGGCGATGAAAATTGACGGAAAAATGAATACCAATTGGACGATTGCAAAAGTTCGTGCCCGATTTTCAGAGGTGGCGGGAACCTTATCTACCCTGGCGCAGATATCTGTTTTACCGTCACGTTACATTCCTATCGGAAGATACACCGTAAATTAATAAAATAATAAACCATACATTCAAATGAAACGTGCCTTTGCACACACCGCTTGTGTTTTATCTTCAAATCGGGCACGAACTTTTGCAATCGTCCGATACATAGTGACTATTACATAGTGACAGCGACCACTTTACTTCTGAGTGGCCAGCAGTCAAAGGGTTAAGTGCACAAGTACGTCTAACTTCTGAAAAAACATATTCCATAGAAACGTATGTAGCGACCCTTCTACGCCCTGCCACCAGAGGGACGGACTAACCACAGGTTCTCGCTAGTTCTCATAAAGGCTCCTATTTGTATATATACACCTTGTGACCTGAGTCCTTCCAGTCCCTCCTGCGTCTGAGTACTTGATGAGGACGAAGAAACTCCCCTAACAACCTTTCCTTTTCCGCCTATCCTCCACCAACTTTCCTACTTAGAATTAGCTTTTCACGTATATATTTCACCTCGCTATAGAAGAAAATTCGAGGCTCACCTGCGGAAGTGGAGTCATCCCATTGGAACGGCGTTCTCGCCGGATCCCTCGAAGCTGACTCGTAACCGTCTTTGCCGGCGTTGCACCCCGAAGGATCCACCGTATCCTCCCACGAGATCCAAGTGTCCTCCATGCCAATCTCTTCGCCGTTGTAAGTGACGCTGACGCCTGGCAACAGGAGCGAGATCAATGTGACGGCACGAGCTCGTTTGGGGCCGAATCTCGTCGCCAGCCTCGGTTTATCGTGATTTCCCGCCTGTGAGCAGAAATTTTCGGAGATTTCGCAAAGATTCGTTGAATTGCGTAGAGTTTGAACCATCACGAAGTTGCGTAATTGCATTACATAAATTTCTTCTGTTTCATTTATAGCGACGTACTTCTAGGTTTGACGAGAAGAATCGTTTGTAGAAGTTAGCCAACAGACTTAATCACGTTTCTGTTGTTCCTTTTGCGATACAAATATGTCTCTTATTACGAATCGAGCTTTTAATCTATTGCGTAATAACGCTGTTTCATTTCTTCTGGTTACTTGTATTTTACGTACATTGCACATTTTTCTCTGTTGTGTACGTATATTGTAGCTCTTAGCGATAAGTGTCTGTATTACACAATGATAGTATCTAATAATATTGATGTGTGTGTGTATACATATTGGATGTATTTGAAAAGCACTGTTAGTGAAGACATATTACAAATATAAAACATACTTGAAAACGATGAATACGAGTTGCACTGGGATTTGGCCGTACACTCAGACAAAACAGTAGGCAAATCTATCAAATATAACAGAATAGACCAGACATCACGCTTAATAAGTTAAATTTTGTCAATCTTTCAGTTATTTTCTAGGCGTACAGAAATAAGTTTTCTATTATTTATAATGCTGCAACTTACTTTAGTTTGCCATAACAGAAAGAACAGCGCAATATGGAAAGTGAAAGAGAATAATTTGAAAAAAGTGCACTTATTGGACGATTAGGGTTAAACGTGAAACAAAACAGATAACGTACCTACGACCACAATATACAAGTGAAATATTATGGAAAAATAGAAGAATACAATGAAAAAATAGAAAAATACAGAAAATAATAGAAAAAAATGGAAACAGAAAGAATGTGAAAACATTGAAAAGTTTATGTAATACCATTTGTCTTATCAGTCACAGGAATCATGCTAAATTCTTTCAACAACTCAATCTCAACGCAAACATACATCAAAGTACACAGAAAGTGGTCATATTAAAAACAGTACGATTCTCGATTATAAGTCTTGGCTGAAACCCATCTTGCTAAAATAATACCTGAGAAAATGAGTGAACTGAAGTCAATAATAACAACAAAATTTATACAATTTTCCCTTTAACTTACTGACTTACCGGCGTGATTAACAAATTACGCACATTTTAACTTTTCCTAGTGCCTACTTAACAAGCGAAAATTATCCACAGATGAAGAAGTTAAAAAACTCAGATTTCTTCGTTCGACTTGCAAACTTGCAATGACATCCTGATGCACACGAGTACTCGTCAAGAATCTGCCAGCGTCGAACTTTCATCCATATTTCCTCGAACGTTGTCTCTGTCACAAGTAATTCGTTAACAAGGACCGAATTCAACGATCAACGATTACCGCATCGATGGTAATAACGCAGTTCTAACAGACAGTACGGCAGAATCTGCGTTTTCTCTCTCGATTCTTTTTTTCCACAAAATGTTTTTTCCTCTCGCGTCGCTGTTTTCCCCACCGACACGTAAAGATGTCGGTTTTCCGGCCTGAAAATTCCACGATCGAACGAACGAACGATGCACACACGGCCAGTCTCGATGAACTCCGGCGCACTTGTGGAATTCGAAGAACGCCGAGCGGAAAAGGGCGCTCCTCTCCAGGCGTTTTCGCGTACACTTTTCAACTCCGTTCACTCGTGGACCCGAATACGAAAAACAGCGTCGTCCGAGCAGCCAGTTTTTCCGATTGAACGAGCTCGTTTCGACCAGCCAGTTTCCAGGTATAACTCGATTTTCCCGCTGATCAGATCGAGGAAAGTTTCGAGAGCCTCGACGTGCCTCCGAAGAAGCCGTCGACTAATCAACGCAGAAATTTCAACGATAAGGAATTCAGACGGTTCGTGATGTTCTTGCGATGCGCGAGGAAACGGCAGTTTTGCAGGATTAATATGGAAAATTAGTGCGTCAACTCTTCGAGGACGATAGAGTCGTATATGCGTTCACAAAACACTGTGAACGCAATCAATAAACTTACATATTGTTGCGAGCGTTCGACCTTGTTCGGTTCTAAGCTCGCTGTGGTTCAGCCTTGACTTAACTATTCCGAACCTCGTTGAGGAGGTATATAGAGACTGTTCCGTTTTGTTGATGTTTAGTTGAACTTTATTCGTGATCTTCGCTGACGGGCGAGGGTGAGCTCGCTCTTTATACACTTCTGCGAAGTGGAAATTCAGCAATCAGGGTGTCTAAATGGTGGCGACAACCCTCCCCTTGCGCCCGCAGCGCGTTTCTTCGGAGAAGGGGATGCCTGTGAGCCGCTTTTGGTAGGTATATAGAGACTGTTCCGTTTTGTTGATGTTTAGTTGAACTTTATTCGTGATCTTCGCTGATGGGCGAGGGTGAGCTCGCTCTTTATACACTTCTGCGAAGTGGAAATTCAGCAATCAGGGTGTCTAAATGGTGGCGACTACCCTCCCCTTGCGCCCGCAGCGCGTTTCTTCGGAGAAGGGGATGCCTGTGAGCCGCTTTCGGTGAGACAGAATTTGTTAATGCAAAATTGTCAGCCCCGAAAGCGGTACCGTTTTATGGTCAAAAATGTCCCATCGCTGGCGCGAACAATGAGGTTCGCGCGGCGCATGGTAGACCAAGAGGGGTCTGATCGGCCGAAGTGAGGCTCGGCACCTCGGTCTGGCTGCCAAAAAAAAGCAGTTAGCGTGATCATGAAACATTTAACCTTAACACTCAACCTAGGAATTTCGAAAATTGTCATCCATTATATTTAGCCTATCGTGTCGTAACGTTGGAGTTAAAAGGAACCACGACGCCTTCCACACAAGAAAACAGCACAGTACACAACATTAGCCAACAGATTTAGTCACGTTTTAGACTTTTGTTTGCGGCACAAATGTCTCTTTTACAAATCGAACTTTTAATCTATTCCACGTAATATCTCTGTTTGCGTATATTTTATGTATCCTTCTACCTGTTACACTAGATCTACCGGAAAGTTCTGTCCGATAATGTCATCTCAAGATCCAACGTTGAGTCGTTCCACGGAAATGGAATCCACAAATTACCATCACGCACAAATTATATCGTTCGGTAAATATTAATAAGTGCATTATTTTCTTTTAATTCAAAAACGGACAGAACTCTCCGACAGACCTAATATAACAAAACAGAACAACAACCACAACAATAATAATAAAAATTGAACGACACGAAGCAGACTTAATTTGTTCGTCAAGAACTCACCACCCAGTTAGGAATGCTACCAGCTGGCATGTTCGACATCCAGGAATCGACCATATTCTTGAAATCAGCGGCTGTCGAATTCTTCTGCATATCCGTGATCAATCCAAAGTTAAAGGGATAGTGTGCACCGTAAGCGTAATATCTCATCGTCATCGAGACGTTCGTGTAAGCCTCCATCATCATGAATCTAGGCTGCTCGAATTCCTCCATAACTTGCCTCCAGCCCAAAACTATCTTGTAGGTTTGTAGTTGATCCTTCGAGTAGATTTTCTCGGTGTATCCATAGTTGTTAGGGTCGTTAGTGTCGCCTGTCAGAGGCTCGTCCAGGTACCTGGTGTCCTCGCAGAGGTGATTAACAGCGTCCACCCGGAAACCATCCACGCCTTTTCTCAGCCAGAACCTGATGACTTCCTGTGACGTGTTGACATGAAGCACAAGACATGTAATAGATCATTTAAAAAAAAAAAGATATCTTTGTAAGTGTCTGAGTAAAAATTTTAGTTTGCATATCGAAGGTTTTCGTGTGAAATTATGCGATAGGGAACGATTTAATGTATTGCAGTCTGTTAACATTTTTTATATTTTCAATTTAAAATTATATATTTTTATATTTTCAATTCACCTGTGTTAAATTTCTTTTTGCGTTAGTTCCGTTATTTGTTTTCTTATTTCTGGATATAAGCCCATTACGGTATGTAATATAATTACAGATAATAGAGAAAAGGTTGAAAAGGAAGGAAATTGAAAAAGAAAATAGAGTAAAAGGAGAAAATAAATAAAGTAAACTAAGGAAAGTGAGAAAAGGGGGAAACAGAATTCTGAAAAAGAAAGTTAAACGTGGAGAATAGGGGCTGAAAGTTAAATTCAAGAAACGATAATTAATAATTATAATACTTAAGGAAGTGGTGTAAACAGAATTGCGACACCGTGCAAAATATCTGTCGTTTAAAAAAGAGAACGTGATTCGACGTACTTCTATTTCGACATTTTCTTTTTACTACAATATGCTCGTCGGTGAAATACGGAAAGCGTGCACTTAAGTCATGTACAGAAATTGCGTCGGAATCGTGCAATGATTAATTTCACCGGTTCTTGTTTTCGTTAGCCTCTTTCACTTGCGAAGATGAAATTTTTTACGAGTTCGTTCACTTGACGATTAAATTAACGACTCGCGTACATTCTCGGGAGCCATACGGTCTGTCGAATTGTTTCAGATTATGCTCAGCGGCGGAAAGGCGATGAAAATTGAACCGCGCGATTATTTTTGGTTTTTTCTTTTTATCTCGACGAAACGAAAATACCCTCAGAGGAATGAAATAATTATTTCACCGAGATATATTTTTCGGTTATACCTGTTTCATGAAGATCGATTACCTCACCGAACGAAATATTCCATTTCCATTCAAGCTCCACGGAGAAATTCTTCAATTTTCAGAATTCCGCCACTTGGAACCCAAAATGATTAACTTCGTGAAATGAAATTTATTAAATTTGTTTTATTCATGAAGAATTAAGCATGTGCTTTGATACTAATATTGGAAAAATAGCAAAAAATGGAGTTAACCCTTGTAAGTAAAGGGAAACTGATTTCTATACGCCCAGGAAATAATTAGAAAAGGAATAGATAAAATTGATCTTACTTAGCATATGAAATTGAGAAAAATGTGAGCGGTAAGGGGTTAATTTCCACGAGAAACGAAACAACGAGTAGAAAATGTTAAACCTTCGCAGACAGTTCTCATTTGGCATTAGAAATTGAGAAAAATGGTGACTTTCACCCTTAACACTGCCACATTCGCTTAATTTGACTCGTTCGCCCCTTCGTACAGACAGATTGTCCCTCGTCCATTTCTGATTTATGTGATCGTTTCCCAATCCCAGGTCCTCGCATGCCACGTTACGTATCAGTGCGTGCGTATATCTCCTCCATTACAGACGAACGCTCGCAACGTTTCTATAGGAGCACACGGAGATGTCGGGTTCATTGGGTTTCCGCAGAGAAATGTCAATACCTTGCCGCTAGCTTCTGCAGGTAATTCCGAGCGAAAGACGCTGTAGCTACATAGGTTACGTCTGATTCCTATTAATCAACGATCGTTAGAAACGTCGATATTTCAAGGTTCGAGATCGCGTATAGATGTTTCTCGATTACTGCTTATTGACACGTAAAAGTCGAGGTTGAGCTCGGTGTTTTCGTCGAATTTATCGTAACCCATCGGTCTGGAAAATCTCGTCGCGAAAATACGGGAGAAATTCGAATCTTGTCTGTCGTTTAATCCTTTCGTGACCAGTGAGTATTCGAACAAAAATTGATCAGCGATAGAAAATTAAAAAGAAAATAATTCGTTCGCGAAAGGGTT